CCCCAGGCCGGGCCTGCCTGCCTGCCTCCCCCCGTCCCCATCAACCGAGATGAACCCATCGCCTCTCCTCCGCTGGTTGCTACCCTTCCTCAGTGCACACACTTGCTTGCCTCCCTTCCTACTCCCTTTGCCTGCTTCCTTCCCTGTTGATGCGTTGCTTCCTTTCACCGTCGCGCCACGCGGCCGCCTGTGCACGCTTATCCACCCACCCACTGTAGTTGGCCGTACCAGTTGACACATGTCACATGGTGCGATGTTACATGGTGCGATGTGGAATGCGGAGCAGCAAGCGGAGAGCGGAGCAGAGGGAGCGGCAGAGGAGGGTCAAGAGTAGGGTGCTGGGAAGGGCGGGCCACCCCTCAAGTCACTGGGCGGGTGCCCCACCCCACCGCCAGCACAGCAGGCGCCGGAACCACAAGGTGCCAGCCGGCGACAGCCTCCCCGGGTGCAACGCACGGCCGGCAGCCGCGCGCTGAGAGGAGGGCCTCCCAGCCTGCGGGCGGCAGCCAGGTTCGCACAAGTGGAGCTTGCAGCGCTGCCTGCCGCCCGGCCTCAGTAGATGGCAACAGACAGGAAGTCGCCGGTCTGGAAGTTGAGCTGCTTGAGCGACTTGGAGTCGTCCTCGCCGAGCCGCGTGGAGTGCACCAGGCCCACCTGGCGTGCAGGGGAGGCCAGGCCAGGAGGGGCAGGGGCAGGGGCAGGGGCAGGCAGAGGCAACGCGTGAGCGGGGCACCCTCGTCCAGCCGGCGCGTTGGTACTCCGCCAGCGATCACCCCAGCGATCAGGCCGACCACCCAGGGTGCACCGCCGTGCCAGCCGCGGGCCCGCCCCAGCCCCGCCCCAGCCGCCGCCCGCCCGCACCTGCCGCATCACATTCTTGCCGCGCCGGTCGGGGTAGACAAAGGCGAAGGAGAGGCGGGCCATGGGGCGCCGCGCCGCGGGCTGCACCTCCTTGACCAGGTCACACAGTTCGCTGCGGGGGCGGCAGGCAGGGCGGGGGCGGCGACGAGGTGGGTGGCAGCGAAGGGTGGGAGCAGGCGGCGGGAGGTGGATTTAAAGAGGAGGGAGGCGGGAGGCAGCGGGAGCGGGAGGCAGCGGGAGCGGGAGGCGGGCGTGGCCTCGGAGCAGGGCGAGGCCCTCGCCGCCGTCCGGCGTGGCCCGCGCCACAGGCACACGCCCGCCACCCCACCCCACCCCGCCCGGTCCACGGGTCCCCACGCTGCGCCTCACCGCAGCGTGGCGTCCATCCACGTGTATATCTGTACCTCGTCCTTGGGCTCGTCCCCGCGCCGCGCAAAGTCCTCCAGCTGGTGGTGCGCGCCCAGGCGCGGGAACACGCGCAGCAGCAGAGGGCAGACCTGCGTGGGGAGGGAAGGTGGGCGGGGGACGGCGGTGGATGGGGAGCCGGGGCGCAGGGGCAGGCGGCGCCTCGCGCGGCAAGCAGCCTCGCGCCCGTCCCCAGCGGCATATTTCAGCAAGGTGGGAGAGCGGCTGCGCTGCGACCGGCGGCGGCGGCAGGCGGCGGATGCAACACCCACCTTCTCTCTGTCGATGGCGGGCTCCTTGACCACCGCCACCACCCCCGACCGCAGGCGGTCGGGTGGGTCTAGCGGGGGCCCCATGGGGCCCGGGGGTGGGCCTCGGCGATCGAAGCCCGGCCCTGGCGGGCCCAGGCGCCTGTCGTCGAAGCCGCCTCTTCCATAGTCGGCTGGTGGTCCTCGCCTATCGAAGACTTCGCCCGGGGGAGGGCCCCGCCTGTCCCTGTCGAACTCCCTTCTGTACATGGCACCGCGGTCACAGCAGCCGGGCTTCAGGGACTTCAGAGACGCGGTGCAGGCACCACAGACGCAGAGCACAGCGCCGATTGGCAAAGCGAGCCCGTTTGGGCCCGTCAGCCTCCTCGCTTTCCACACCAAAACTTCGGTGCCCAGGGGGCTCCCCCAGGCCTTCCCAGCCTATTTCTCCGGCCTGTGACACGTTGCACTTACCCCCCACTCTCATTTCCAGCCTTTTCTGCTCCCCTGAATGCCCTGTGGCTGCAACACCCTTGCCCGCCTCCCCCGCGCTGCATGTCCGTGTCCCTGCACGCCCTGCCTCTGTCGCACCGCCATGCGACTCACGGGAGGCGGCTGGTAGTGAAGGGTCAGAAATGGCAGCAACGGGTGACCGGCGCAACAACGGCCCTAGGCAGCGCGCCGCGCGCCGCAGCTGCAGCATCGAGGTCCGGGCGGGCACATGGCCGGCTCAGACTGCGCGTGGCGGCCGTGGCGGCGCCGGGCGTCAGCCCGCCGGGCGGCGTCGAGCGCGCCCGCCCGACGCAGCCTGACGTCGCGGCGCCGCCCGCGCGGCACACCGGCAGCCTGTTTGGCGCGGTAGCCCTGATCACCGGCTCCACCGTGGGGGCGGGCATGCTGGCGCTGCCAGCTGTCAGCGCGCCGGCCGGCATCATGCCCACCAGCCTGAGCCTGACCGCCATCTGGGGCCTGCTCACTCTGGATGCCCTGCTCATAGCTGAAGTCAACCTAGCGGCCCGTGCAGCCCGCGACGCCAGCCGTGCCGACGGCGGCGGCGGCGAAGGCGGCGGCGAGGGAGGGCGGGGCGGCGCGCCGGCCGCCGGCAGCGGCATCATCACCCTGCGCCAGATGGCAGAGTTTTCGCTGGGCAAGGCGGGCAAGAGTGAGTCGGCTTGCGCCCTGGGGCCCTGCCTTGCTGGACGCCGCCCTTATCTACTTGTTTTTTGGTGCCCGCCCTTATCAAACTGCTGCTGCAAAAAACACAGCCGTGCTGCAGCCGCCCTGCTTCCTCGCAATGCCTCCACGTCCCACCCACCCAACCCACACCCTCCCGCGTGCAGGCTGTACCGTCATCTACCTCCTCCTGGCCTACAGCCTGCTCACCGCCTACTGCACCAAGGCCGCGGAAGTGGTGGACTACTTTGCCGGCGGCGGCCTGCCCCCGCTGGCCTCCTCCGCCGCCTTTGTGGGCGCCGTGGGCGGCATGCTGTACCTGGGCGGCACCCGCGCCGTCGACTCGCTGTGCCAGGTGTGCGTGTGTGTGTGTGGTGGGTGGGGGCACAGATTGGCACATGCAGGCCCGGGGCTGCACAGCTGCCTGCACCGCGCGGCTGCCCAGCGAGGCACGCCGGGCGGCGATGCTGGGCGCTGGGTGCACATATGCCGGGCCCCACCCCTCGCCTCCTGCATGCCCCCTCGCCCGCCGCGCCTCACCTTCACCCTCAGCCCCAGCCCCACGCCCGCCGCTCCCTCCTCCCTTCCACCCCGCTGCTCCCTCCCCACCCCGCCCCCGACGCAGGGCCTCACCTCTGTGCTGCTGCTGCTGTTTGGCGTGATCCTGACGGCGGGCGCTTCGCAGGCAGGCCTGCCCGCCTCCCTGGCCGCCGGCGCCGCCGACTGGGGCGCGCTGGAGCCGGCTGTGCCCATCATGTTCCTGGCCCTGGTCTATCACGACCTGGTGCCGGTGATTGTGGACTACCTGGGGGGAGACAGGAGGAGCATTCGGTGAGCATACGGCGGGCGGCGGGTGGGGCGTGGGGTGTGTGCTGTTGTGCGTATGTGTGTGTTATGGTGGGGGTGGGGGCGGCACATGTGTGGGGAGTTGCGCGTGTGTGCAGGGTGGCTGGAGCCCTGCCCTGCGTGCTCCTGCATGCTTCCTTCCGGCCGCCGCCGCCCATGGACTGCCCACCTCCTCACACCCCCCCGCCTGCCCCTCTCTGCTTCTCCCGCCTGCGTGCTTGCCACCACCTGCAGGTCTGCCATCGTGCTGGGCAGCCTGGTTCCGCTGGCCATGTTTGTGTCGTGGGAGGCGGTGGCACTCTCTCTGCTGCCCGCGGGGCTGGCCGACTCGGCCGCTGGCGGCGGCGCCCCCGGCGGCGGCGGTGCAGCAGCAGCAGCAGCAGCCGCCTTCGGTGGCGGCGGTGCGGCCGCGGGTGCGGCCGGTGGCGCCGCCAGTGCAGCTGCGGCGGCGGTGGCGCTGGATCCGCTGGACGTGTTTGTGCGCCGCTCCTCGCCGCTCATCCGCTCGGTGGTGGAGGGCTTCTCCTTCCTTGCAGTCCTGACCTCCTTCATCGGCACCAC